GATGGAAACAACATAAAGCTTAAATCGTAGGACCGAAGGGAAGTCTCACGTATTAGTAGCAATGGGCTGAACTTCCATGTCTCCTCGAGATTCATATCGGGGAATCTCGCCAATGGTATCCATGTGATTACTTGTGGCGCCTCATCTACCTCCTAACGTGATGCTCCAATTGTCACCCTTGTCGGTATCCGGACGCTTTTCCTAATTATAACTCTAGTACGAAGACGATGAAGAGGTATTGAGGTAAAACTGATATTCGTGTCGACTTAAGATTGTTACTAGTGGCTCTCCAGCTACTAAAATTATGTCCAAAATCAATATCTATTGAGGTATTCTCTATCTTAGTACTAGGTGGGTTGTTCCTAGAGCGGCTAGTGATGTAACCTAACTGGTTAACCTAGCATTTGATAAGGGATAAAATATATCTAAATAAAGATATTGTGATAAAGGTGCACTTAGTTTCTAATTGTACCTAGATGAATGCCTCTAAGATGCAATGCCTATACGCACACCGAAAAATTTTGTTTTTCAAAAATATAAGTTGAAATCATTTTGAACATAATTTTACTATAACTATTTCCAGTCTCAAAATTTTCCTTAATTAAGCATACTTGTCCAAAATATACTTAATTAAAGTCCAACAATGTGTACTCGACTTAGTTATACTAGTAGTATGTTCAGTATTTTGAAAGTCGTTTTGAAATTTTTTGGATAAAGTTTGAGTTCTCCAAAGGAAAACAAATATTCTCTATAACCTTCGGCTCTGATACCATTCTTTGTCACACCTCGCTAAAACGGGAACACAAGGTGTAACAGTACAAAGGGTCTCATAGCAAAAGTTAAAAGACAACACCAACCATAATATTAAAAAGCATTATAATTTAAGATGATTTTGAACAAAATTTAAAAGAAATTACAATGTATTTGAAAAACAACACATGCGTATGCTCCTACAAGTGATGTGTCCCTATGTGTAATCTTATTAGACGATTCCTGAGAAAGCATGTAAAATTAGCAGTCAACTCTTGAAATAGTTGGTGAGTTTACAGGTTTATGGCATAACATAGTTTTAAATTATGAAAAGCTGAATATTGATAAAAGTTTCCATAAATGAAACTTCATTGCTAAAATGAGTAAACAAGTTTTAATAAACAGTAGATCATTTCTAAAATGAGTAAAGAAGGTTGCATAAATAGTAGTTCATTGCTAAAATGAGTAAACGAGTGTATACGTGTATAAAAAGCAAAGAATGTTTTTTCAGCCAAGCCTATGACAGATGCCCTATCAAGATCTATGCTTATTGTTCCATAGATAGACATAGTAAAATGCACTCTACAATCGGGTGAGTGAGCAATTGTCAAATTCCTAATAACGCTATCCATAATGACCATTGACTAAAAAAGTTAATAGTTGAAGTAAAGTGTAAGGGACTTATACGATTAGGGCTCGTGTTTCACAAGCGCATACACATACATGAAGATTTAGCAACCAAATTGATACAAGTTAAATTACATACAACAAACCTAAATAAAATTTGGGCATACTTTCCACCCCATAACGTAAAACCGAAAATAACGGCCATGAATACTCACAATGCTTTGAGATGATGCTAACGATGCATTAAACTAAGTTCACACGACCTATTACCGATGTCCTACAACTATATTACACACTAGTGAATCTCTAATCGAAATTAATACTAGTATACTTATCTTATATAATAGAATTATGCCAATAATGTGTCAAAAGTTTGATTTTGAATAAGTTATAATAGTTTTATGAAAAATTCAGAATTCCATGAATCAAGTTGATAAATAACAATTTAAGTGGAAAATTCCCATATTTGGCATATTTGAAGATGTTCCAAAGACTAAATTTTCAAAAACTAAATCAAATTAGTTCTATAACTTCCCAAACTTTGTATTTCAGTTTTAACAAAAGTCAAAGACCTTAAGATAAATTTTTATGAATTTTTAATTTGTCTAATTATTTTTAGTCATTTTAATTCTTTGAATAATCATAAAATATTGGAAAAATAGTAAATGATCATAAAATTTTCTTATGATTTTTGTGATACTGTTATACAGTGTCTAGAAGCTAGGAAAAATATTAAATGATATTCTTAAATATTAGAACTCAATTTTTTAATTTATATCCATTAATCGAGATACAAATTAAAATATATGGTAAACAGTAAAGCAAATTCACCAAACCTTTTATTCTTGTTTCCATAGTAAATTAAAATAAGTTGGTAAGTTTACTTGATTTAGACAAGTTTAACTATTTTCCCACCATTTAATTCCTTGAAATCATCATAAAATATTGAAAAATATTAAACAGTTAACAAAATTTCCAAACTTTTTTATACAACATATATACAATGTATATAAGTTGGGAAAAATATAAAAAATGATTTTAAAATAGTGGAGTCGGATTTTTGGATTTATGGGTGTTTAATCTTAGGAAAATAGAAAACGAAATAGTAAATAGTAGAGCAAAATCACTAAACTTTTTATTTGTTATCCTACTATAATAGAAAATGTCTTGGTAAATTTTTATGATTTTTGGATAAGTGTAGCTATTTGTTATCAATTTAACCCCTTAAACATTCATTAAATCCAGGAAAAATAAGACATTGTCATGGAAAAATCTGTAAATTTGTTTATAAAGGTTTTATAATGTCCAAAAGGTGCGACAATTATCACAAATGGCTTTCAAAATTCATAACTGTATTTTACCATTTATTTGTTCTCAACAAAAATAAAAAGGAAATAAATAGAAAATACCCATTAAAAATCATGAAACTTCATAAAATATCTTTACTCTATGTATAGGTAATCCCAGAATTTTGCTAGAATTTATTAACCTTAAAAAGTATTTCATGTGAATTATTGCTCTATTTCCTTGCAAAAATTACAACAATTAGAGAAAAATATTTATTTTGTAAACAATTGCAAAGCATTTTGATTTCTTGTTGGGATTCTAGGAAAAATCATTTTAGGACAGAAAAGGAGTTTTAGATATTTGTTGTGAAAATAATCCTTTATACGCATTCTTAACAATATACTTTGATCATCAAGCCTTTAAGCTTGATGTTCATCACATGCATCATGGTTTGAAGACCATGCATGGACTTATTTTAGTCAAAATTATGTTTTTAAAAGAAAATTTTGCATGCATGTTGTTGATGAGCATCAAGACTTGTAAAAACTCAAATTTTTAGGTTTGACATAAGTTTTGGTCCTTGGATTTCACCATCAAGCAACATGCATGAGGGTGTGGGTGAAATCGTACCACCATCATCATCAAAACCATGGGTATATGTATGTCTTCATGATATTACAATAAAATGGTATAGAAGGAGAAGAAAATGCATGAAAATCATGAATCTTGAAAGAAAAATCACTACAAGAAAAACAGCCTTTAACGATGCGCAATCAATCACACGCGCTAATAGAGGATACGCATTTGTGTGTGCCCTAAAAATCGATGTCAGTTTTCCAAAATTTGAAGGATAGAGGACACGCATTTGTGAGTGCCCTACGATTAGTGTTAAACAAAACAAAATTAAAAACATGGAGGACGCTTATTTTAAGTGTGTGCCGTCTACAAATGTCGCTTTATATTTTTTGAACAAAACGCACGTTTTTAAAGAGGGATCTAAAATTCTAAAATTTTGAATACCCCGCTTCTCACTCTGATCCTATGGGTCGCCTTATCTCTCGCACAGAGCCTCTCTCTCTCTCTCTCTAACCCTAGACACAACCACTGGCAATTCACGTTCCTTCTTGCTCCATATTTTTTACCTTCGTCGGATCTATCTTCTTCTCCCCCGACGCTATCTTCTTCTTGCTCCATAAAATAAAATCAGCGACCAAAGAATCAGGCTCGCTTCTTATTTTGATTTTCCGTCTCCCACAAAAACCCTAGTTTCTATCACCGCTTCTTGTCCCTCACAAAATCTTCCATAGAACCGACGATTGGGGGTCTGCGACTCTTCACGTTGACAACGCCCTGCTGCAACTCATGATGGGGCCCAACGGTGAAGCAATTACATAACATGGTTGACTGCTCTGGCATATTTACTTTCGTATTCATCTTCTTCCTCTCTAGCTTCCCCTAAATACAAAATTAATCCCACTGTTGAATTAGTGAATTAGGGGTTAGGGTTTTGAGTGATTTAGGGAGAAGATGGTTGGCTCTAATGACCAAAAACTTCCTGGAATTGGGATTGAGAAAAGAAGATTGTGTGGAAGGAAGTTGGATTGACTACGTACTTTACTAGGCCTACTTCAACAACACAACCGAAGACACAATGAGGTAAAGTTTACCTCGCTCTATTTCTCCTCCATTTCTCTCTTTCTCTCTCATCTCTCATCTCTCTCGCTCTAATAGACTCCCATGTTTATTCCTTTTGAATGCTCTCTCTCTCTCTTACAATTTTTAGATGGAGGTGCTCTCTTGTCGTCGAAGTTTCTGGATGTAGTCCTTCGCATACAGGTATGATTTAGTACAAGCTTACTTTGCATCTCATAATATATCATATGAGTTAAACTCAAATTTCATCCTTAATTCAAGAAATTAGCTATGATTTAGTACTCAATAATCTTGAAATCACATTATTATAGCTTCCATTCATTGCTATACACCATAAATTCGACACATGTACAATCTAAGTGCATATTAACAAGAGTCAAGAGTTTGAGTATCCTCAAAACTGATTCAATTAGAAGTCAACTTCTGGCCTCTTGAATGCATATCCTGATTAGATCCTAAAAAATCAGCACCTTCATCTTTATTCAATTCTTTTCGAGGTCAACACATGTATGAATCACCCGTACAAGTCAACCAGGAGACTGTAGGTGCAATGCTACCAAAACTTGGTGAGTTTCATCCATCTCTTGTGCATGTGATGGGTATTTACTATTTTTTTTAATCATGTTGCATATCATGTTGGATATTTCACGGAGGTATAATGTAAACACAGATTTCTTGAGGCGATGGACATTAGAACAAGAAAAGGGCTACTCAATGCAATGGCTGGAAAAGTGGGGAAAAGAATGGATGCTCTTTTGATTCCTCTCGAGTTATTATCCTGTGTTTCTCGAACCGAATTTTCTGACAAAAAATCTTACATAAGATGGAAAAAGAGACAAGTCAGTCCCTTCTCTCTCTGTTTTGTTTCGTAGCCTTATTGTATTATTCATGGGCATGTATAAGTAAATTTTCAACTTTAACTAATATTGATGTAAGATGTTTGATCCAATGTTGTGTTAGTTCAGTTGAATATGTTGGAGGAAGGACTTGTGAATCACCCAGTTGTGGGATTTGGAGAATCTGGTCGCAAAGCAAGTGAAATGAGGATTCTATTGGCAAGAATTGAAGAATCTGAGGTTAAAATGAGATCTTTTTAGTTTTTACATATGCTATGCTCTATTGCTCTTACTTTATCATTTTTTAAATTTGTCTTATTTCAGTCATTTGCACCTTCTGTGGGTGAACTTCAACGCATAGAATGTTTAAGATCTCTAAGGGAGATTGCCATTGCACTTGCAGAGAGGCCAGCTCGTGGTGACTTAACTGGTGAAGTATGTCATTGGGCAGATGGGTATCATTTGAATGTCAGATTATATGAGAAACTTCTTTCCAGCATTTTTGATGTTCTAGATGAGGGGAAACTAACTGAGGTATGTAAATTTTATATCCAATGTTAAGCATGATGTTGTTATAAATTGATTAAATTCCCTCCCTCCACCTGTACCCTTACAAACCATGGTAGCATGATTAACATTAAACTTCTAATGTTGTATTTACTAGTGGAGTTAAATGCAAGAAGTGGCTACATTTTTTGGTAGATTTAACAAGCCTTAAGAAAGAAATGGAAGTAGCATATGATGATGATGCATAACAAACAACTATATTTTATGAATGTATGCAGGAAGTGGAAGAAATACTTGAACTTCTAAAGTCAACGTGGTGTATCTTGGGAATAACAGAGACTATTCATCACACCTGTTATGCATGGGTGCTATTCTGCCAGGTAATAACAAATCATAAATGAATGAATCTTTCAAGAAATTATCTCAGGTTCCATCTTTTTCTACAAATCACCCAATATTTCTACATATGACGATAATACCCCTATATAAATATAACATATTTATCTTTTTTTTCTTCTTATTGAGAACAACTTGGTTGGGAATATTTTACATGTGCATACCTATAGGAATTGCCCTTGGTTATGTTTATGGTGGATGGGTAAATTTAGCAAGAGAACAGGTTGGTTTATGAAATCCTTCATTTATTTTCATGATATTATCCAAACAATTTAATTTACAATTCCAAAAATTTATTTATTGCTAACTTATTTACAAATGTTTCTTCCTCATTCTCAAGGAATTGGGCCCACACAAGGTTGGAGCACTTATATTGGAAGGTTAATTCATGTAAATTTTAAGTTTTGTTTTATGATTTTCAAGGTTCTGTTCGTTAGATTTTTATTTTTGATTTAAATATTGTGTCTGATATGGTGTTTGTTTGGTTTTGGGTTTTGGTTAGGAAGTTTGAGCTCGGTAAGTTCGAGCAACATCTATGGTGGCCCGAGCAGCATCTATTTCAATATTGATTGTGTGAAAGTCATCTACTAAAGCAAGGTTGGTGTAAGAGTTGATGATGCGAACATTGTTCCAAGACCTTCAGTGAGTTATGATGATGTCCCTTAATAGCAACGTAGTATTAGGTTATGTAGTTAGCCATGATTATTTGTATTTGCATTTTAGTGCAATGAATTATCTTTCTTATTTATTGTATTTTATTATTTATTTTGTATGACATTAACTTTTATGCAATGGATTGTATTTTTTGTATATGGTAGTTTATTTTCTATTATGAGACATGAAATGCAAATTTAATTTGAAAATTAGTAAGCCTATAAATAATTTTTTTTTAAATAAAAATAAAAATTACGATACGCAAAAATGTGTGTCATCTTCATTTATGACATGGCCTTTCTTGACAGCGACTTTAATGATACGCATTGCGTGTCATAAATGCGCGTCGTAAGTGCGCATCGTCTATAGACGACGCGCACACGTCTCTCGTTATGACAGGGCCTTCCTTGACGCGCATTTGCGCGTCGTCTGAGCGTTTTATGACGCACAATGAGCATCGTAAAAGGCCTTTTTTCTAGTAGTTAATGAAGGAGAATGACGGATCATTGTGTTTACCTTGATGAACACTTCAAAATGGTGATGTTTTGGATTAAAACGGATGCCCTTGGCTGGAATTTTCGAAATTGAGAGAGAAACATAGAGAGGAAATGAGTGGTGGTGAAAATGAGAAAAAGAGATGGAGTGTTAGAGAAAATGAAAGAAAGTGTGTAGGTTTTGTTTAAATTATTGAACTATGGGAAGAGAGAGAGAATCGATATTTTAGGGATAGAGAGAGAAAGAGAGACAAAGAGAGAGAGAGAGAGAGAGAGAGAGAGAGAGATTTTGTCTTATTCTTTTATAATCATTCCACCGCTTTTTTTTTATAAAATTCCCCAATTTATATAAAATGTGCATTTTATATAAAATTGTGCTCATAAATCTTGGATTTTTGGCTTATAAAATTTGGTTAATGTTAATAAATTAAATTTATTTCCTTGATAATATTTCCACATTTTAAATATTTTAAGATGATATTTTTGATGGGTTTTGATATAAAATATAAGTTTTTTTTCATAAAAACCAGCAATGGAAGTCTTTAAGAATAACAAGTTAATTTTTCATTTTAACAAAACCAAACCATCATGAATCCATTTATATAGGTTATAATGAAATAAAAAACAACCATAGAGTGTTTTAGAATGACAACCTTTGAAGCCTTTGAACCCACTTGGTTTTGGGGTGTTGATGGAGATAACAAAAATCAAAGTGCAAGATTTTATCTATGTGTATACACCATCAAGAGTAAGGCACTTTGAATGCTAGTTCTTTCTTGTATTTTAGAGTGTCTTAAGCCTTTAAGTGCTTAACTCAAATACGCACTAAAGGAGAAAACCCAAAGAAGCTTTAAATCACTAAACTAACTTGAAAAGAGAGAGCAGTGATAAAGAGAAGTGAGTTTCAGTCATCTCTGTAAGAAAGGCATTAAGACATTAAACTAGCCAAAAATCATGCAAGACACATCCTTTCTATACTCCATGGAAAGTAAATCCTAACCACTAAAATACTCTAAAATAATGGCTAGCTTAAGGAGCATGAGAGACAAGGTATGCAGGTTGACAAGCAACCTCCATTCTTTAAATATTATTTTCGGTCGTACCTTTGAAAAGAGGATGGATTCTTTAATTTTTATAAACTCTAAGTTTATAAAATATAAAATTTGTCTTTAGGTAAAAGGAAAAAGAATCCAACTAGTCCAAAAGGTTGTGCATGACTTATTAATTCATACCATATGAAATAATAACTATTTATACTCGCTTATAATTATTATTTTCATAAAACAATAATTTATCCCTAATTAAAATACAAGAATTGATATTATTTATTAATAATAAATATACAAAATGTGCCAACTTGATAAAGGTGTGACTCTATAGGATCATATATTATTAGCAATATCACTCAATAATGATTATTGGGCATATAGATTCAACAATCTCCTACTTGCACAAGATTCGTTACAAAATGACATAGACAATAGTTGACGTCTAGGATCGGGTACTGCCCTTAACAACATATGACGGGTGTCATCTAATCAATAATCAATTCCTTGAGCTCTAAGCTACAATTGCTACTAAAGGTGCGGTATCAATTATTCCTTTGTCTCAGACATCATGCCGTACATGAGATATGGATCGCCATCAAATTTGATTTGTATAAACTTTGTGAATACAAACATATTCATCTTTATATATAACTCATATATAAAGAAAACTATTGAGAATGTATTAGATGCTTAAATATGACTTAGATACAAATACTTTCATAATGGAATTACTCATAGTCATAATGCACTATACATTAATACATCTTTGTATGTGGTTCTCCAAATCTCATTTAGTGTTCAACTTTTAGTAAGGCCTTAGATGTCTAATTCTCAACGAATAAGAGAGACAAATACCATCTTGACTACATATGCTCATCAATGTTGTTCATGTCAAGCCCAACGACGACCCTTATGACTACTTTCAATGGAACAACGTTAAACCATGTCAAAGCACAACAATTCCTTCACATCAAATCCCAAATATTTATCACAAGTCTAAGAATACAAATATACCACCTTGATCAAAACATCACTCTTGACTAAGATCCATAAAGTGATTTTGATGCGGGTCAAGTACAATAATTATTCTCCAAATAAAGTACCTATGAAGTTGGTAACAACTCTTTCTATTCTCATCTCCATGAGAATCCACCAATCCAATCATATTAGTGTTACTTCATAGATGCTCCCACAACTATGAACGACTATAGACATTTAGAATAACCTAGTTATTCAAGGATTTAAACATGGTAATATACAACACAAAAATTATTTAATGGAGTACTCATATCCAATATCTCAAATCATTATAATATATGTTGTTTTTATTGTTACAATATCTAAATACTAAATTTCAATCAAATACATCTACTTGTATCAACAAGGCCCTATAGCATTAGCTTGAATTTCATGCTTTAGCTAATGAAGGATCTTTGTTAAGTAGATTTTTCAAACTTGACTTTTATAAACTTTGCGAATACAAACATATTCATCTTTATATATATAACTATTATATAAGAAAACTATTGAGAACGTATTAGATGCTTAAATATGACTTAGATACCAATACTTTCATAATGGGATTACTCATAGTCATAATGTACTTTGCGTTAATCATCTTTGTATGTGGTTCTCCAAAACACATTGTACTATAAATATGATTTATAACTATAATTAAAATCTACATGGAGACACTATCCATGCACCTTTCTCTTAATTCACAATGAGTGCACGCCCGATTGAGAAACATTTCAATTTATTTATAAGTTTAGCATATATGAAACATCTTAAACAAAGCTTCCTTTCAAATACTCCGCAGATTGGGAATAATTCTCTAGTTCTTGCAAGCACTTTAGAATGTTCCTTTAAGTCACACCATGACTTGTTCTTGGATTGTACTCGTATCATTCGACATGCTCTAAGCATATAAATTATCTTCCCTTCATGCATAGTCATGAAATTTATGATTAATCCAATTGCAACAACATATCGAATACAATCATATAATTTAGCTTAAAAACATTTGCACTAGGATTTGCTCAAAATTATTTCATGTGGTATTTAATAAGATGACTCTCTCATATTCCTTTATCTTAAGCTCTTTAAGATCCTTGACAATTAATGCAATTTAACTCAAACCTTTAATTTTCCATGATCTCTCTCTCTCTCTCTCTCTCTATATATATATATATATATATATATATATATATATATATATATATATATATATATATATATATATGTATTCCAAAACTCAGTGTGTCGACTACATATGAGACTAGGGATATTACTGGGCTCCCACTAGCTTTGTAGAAAACACAAATGTTTTCTTGATTTATAATTAAATCACATTATGCAGTTATCTTATAAGAAATAAGATTCTTACTTTGAGATGTTAGCTTAATTCTGGAAGGCTTTTCATTCATGTAGGTTTTCTCCTTTGAAAACTCACATACTTTTTATAGTTAAACCATATTGAGGAAGATTAATCAAGACCATACTTGATAATCATACACAACTGTGTCTCTTTGTGTTTTATTAGTTTCTGATCAACTATTGAGAATATTCCACAACAGTTGAAACTTGCTAGGTCTAAACTACGATGCATTTATCTTATGGATCTTTAGCTCTTAAAGTTCCACTTAGAAAAAGAAGTTTCTATGCACTTGTCTTATGGAATGACAATTAATGGGATTAGTAAAAACTTTATACTAAACAATCATTTAAGTTAGTAAACATAAATGTAATTAGTAGATGCTAGAGTGGTTAAGCTCATTGTCTAACAGAAGCTCCATAACTTCATACCTTTTAGATAAGGATAAACCATTACATCCTTAGTCTAATGAAAGTATTTTATCCACTTGTCTGGTTGGAATATATATATATATATATATATATATATATATATATATATATATATATATATATTCAGTATATACATTTGTTGCACTGAGTATAATTCCATAAATTTATAAAGTAAATAGTTCTTTTAAAAACAGCATATAATAG